GGGGGGGGGGAGGAAGAAGAGGAACGAGGATTACATTTTTCTTTATTTCTAATAAAAATCTTTTATATTAAGAAGGACGAAGATGCATAGCAAAAAAAAACCAAATTGAGCTGTATTGAAAAGGGGTTGGGGGTCTAGGGGGTGAAGCCCCCAGCCCACTTTCTTTCCCCTTCTCTTTCCTTCCCTTCTCTTTTCTTTTCTTTTCTTTTCTTTTCTTTTCTCTTTTTCTTCTCTTTCTTTTTATTTCCCTTCCCATTCTTTTCTTTTTTCATTTTTTTTGTCTTTGTGTATGAGGTGTGCATCAGGCGCATGAGGCATACGCCTCTAGCACACCTCCTGGAAAAGGCATATGAGGCATATGCCTCAGGGCATTTTGGGGGCAACACGCTTGGAGGCATGCATCCAGATGTACACCTCCGACGCCTTTTAAAACACTGGTTAGAATTTTTATCCATCCAGCAAGCTTCTTCTTAAATGCTGTGCTACCAGCTCACTTATAGATTTAGATTCATGGTTTGCATCAAGGAGCAGAACATGGTATATTATCAACTGGTTTCATTGAGAAATTTAGGTTTCCTACTACAGAAATACAATACATACACTTCCATGTTAATGACTACTGAAATCTTCTTTGTTACCAATCATAAAACAAAAGTGGTAAAAGAAAGCATTATGAAATTTACCTGTGACAACTGTTCTTTATCTCCATACATAACCTTGTTCTGAGCTAGGAAATCAGCCTCTTTTGCCTGAAATGAAGATAACATAACAAATTGATTAAAAGATTAAACGAAAAGGAGGTCATAACTCCTGATAGAACTTACAAACTGTCATTACAAAAAACATGGAAAGTGGTATGAACTTTACACCTTACATCATAAAAAAAATACACACCTTCAGCATCCTAAAACGATCACCAAGAGGAGAAAGTCCATCAAGAATGGTCCGAGATAGATAATCATTTGAACGTGCATGTTTGAAGAAACTGTGCTTCAAAAGCTTTTCTGGTGTAGGACGCTTCTTAGGATCTTTCACCAGGCATGTTGCTACCATCTCCTTAAAAGACTACAAAAAACACAACTTTCAAAACAATACCCATAAATAGTTGGCTATCAAGTCATTACAAAATATCATATACCTTTGAAAATTTCTTGTCTCTTTCATAGTCAAGACCTGGTGGCGCATTTTGTAAGGTCATCAACAAAACCTGCACCAAGAGGAAGACAATGCAGCAAGAACAGAACTTTTTTGTATAACCAGCGGATAATATTTACATTAAACTGAATTAATATCGTTTCTTGAGATTCGATTTAGTCACCTTCATTGGTGGATACTTGGAAAATGGGGCATGACCATGAGCAAGCTCAAGTGCAGTTATCCCAAATGACCAAATATCTGCTCTGTTTTACAAAAAAATAATCTTAAAATGCCCTATATTAAAACAATAAAAGGTTATACAATATTAAGTTGACATGTCAACACTCACTTAAAATCATATCCATGCAATTGTTGCATAACTTCAGGAGCCATCCTACAAAAGACATACAAATAGAATGTTTAGATTCAAAACAAAGTTTCAAAGTCATGTAATTTACCAATTTGAAACCAAAAATAGGAATTCAATAACCAAAACAGAGCAAACTAAAGAGATCCAACAAAGCACCAGCATGGGGTTCCAACAAAAGTATTTCTTGAACGCTGTCTATCACCAGTGTCAAACATGCATGCTGATACTCCAAAATCTCCTAGCTTGACTGCTCCATTGGAATCAATTAAGATATTGCCAGCCTGCAAGAGAGTTCAACACAAAGTTGTCAACTAAGAAAGCAAGGAATAGCATACAAAACTCGGGGAAAAAGAGAGCATTACTGAAAAAAATGCAATTTGGTACACATTATAAATAGCTAATCTTCTTTTCATTGCATGCATGTTAGAACTATTTGTTACCATATTTTTAAATTTTGTTTGATCAATAACGAATAACTTTGATAAGAAAAATGGAGATTAAATATTGTAATCTGAAGAGCTATACTCGAAGTAGCAAGGAAGAGAAGAGAACCACAGAACTGAAGAGAATGTCGAACTGTACTAGCCAGTCGACCAGTCCTTTATTTATAGATGAATATAGTACAAGGTACAAGAAATTACTGGGATGCCCCTGATTAGTGATGGGACACCCAGATGACTTAAATCATTAAACAGGATTAGGCCCATTAACACAAGCCCAGTTACAAGATAAATTAAACATAAGAATGGTCTAATAAGAACTCTTATCAGCCGAACATAACTCTAACATTCTAACAAATATAAAGGAGAGGGGGAGATAAACTCTCTTAACTCCCCAACCAAAAAAAAAACAAAAACCAAGTTACATATTAGCCCAAAACAAAGCATCCCTATTCACTGCTTGCTTAGTTAACCCATCAGCAAAAGAGTTAGCACTTCTTTTAATCCAATTCAGCTTAATTTCAATATCCTTTGCTATCCACTTGAATTTCCTCTTTTCATTGCTATAGTTCCAAAATCCAGTTATCTCTTTCTTTGGCCAGCCCACCACCAACTTGGAGTGTCCTATAACCAGTTTAGTAATGACCAAATCCTTGGCTCTTTGTACACCTTCCAAGGCTGCCATGATCTCAGCCCAAAGAGAGTCACCCACTCCTATTGGACCAGAAAAAAGAGCAATTATGTTTCCTTCCTCATTCCTTAGTACTCCCCCAACACCCAAATGCCCTGGATTCCCAATACAGCTCCCATCAAAATTCAACTTGATAAATCCGCTAGGAGGAGCCCAAGTATGAAAAGAAGGCACTACCACCGGAGCTGACCTTGCAAGCTCCTTCAAATTTCTAAATAGGCACAACAAAAGAAACAAATATGGTATTCACTGTAAAATGTTAATAACCAACCAGAGAAGAACAAGCTCAATTAAGAGAACAAGGACACACAAAAAGAATGCATGATCTATTAGTGATATAATATATATGGCGGTTTCTGTGGTACCAAAATGGTATGATACCTGAAAATTTTAACCAATCAGAAACCTATATGAATTTAGATGAATACTGGTTGATTGGTTATAACTTATAAATTTAACCAATCAGAGACCCTTCCTCATTTACTTGTTACCAGCCCTTTGTGTCTTGTATATGGAAATACATTTGTTCTTTCTTTGGTTGAAGATGGGATCCTCCACAGGATGCAGTAGGCCTATTCAATTCCAGTTTCTTAAGGCAACAGAAGAAGAGAGAAAGAGTTATGTGAAAGACAGCAAGAGCAGCGCTGATCTGGACTGTATAGGAAGAAAGAAATCAGAGAATCTTTAATGAGAAGAGCAAATCAAAGGAGGAACTGTTTGAAGCCGTAACAGTAAGAACAGCACATTGGGTAAAAACTTTGGATCTCTTTTGAGAATTCTCAACAAATGACATAATAAGATCCTGGGCTGAAGTGGCACAAACAGTTAGACCTACAGAAAGTGCAAGAATGGTTCGGAAACCTCCATCTTCTAACAAACTGCAGCTTAACTTTGATGGTAGTTCATTGGGTTATCCAGGAAGGGCAGGAATAGGAGGTGTTATTAGAAACCACGAAGGAGTGGTGGTGGCATTATTTTAAGGACCACTTGGCTTTGGAGATTCAGTACAAGCTGAAGTGATGGCTCTCTTACATGGATTAAGGCTTGCTGTACAATTTGGAGTAAAGGGAATTGGAAGTGGAAGGAGATTCTCAGTCATATCTTGGTCCAAGAATATCAGATCAGCTCCATGGAAATACAGGCATGCTTTCAGAGAGATCGACACCTTGGCAAAGAGATTCAAATCCACTTTTGGGTGGATAAGAAGGTCGGCAAATGGAATGGCAGATGCATTGGCAAGCAAGGAACTGCCAGAGATGGCTTTTGAGCTAAATTGCAATCTGATGTATTTTGGGATGCTGGAAACTTATTAGCCTTTTTGGGATTTCTTTGTAACTGTAACTTGATAAGCTCTTGGGGGTGACATCCTTTGTACTGCTACAGCTTTCTTTAAATCTAATAAAATAATTTCTTTTTCAGATAAAAAAAATAACTTATAAGTGTTCTAGGTATCATACCTTTTCAATACCATTCAGGACATATATGGGATTAATAAAGAGTTGAAATCCCCAAAATGAAAATATATATATATATATTTCATCATTTCTAATATGGATAAGATGACTAAAATACTTGAAAATGCTTCCAATCAGAGTTCAAAGCTATGGGGATACATATCTCATGGTTTCTGCTCATAGAAAATTGAAATTCTAGCAAAAACAAGCATGCAATTAAATAGTTTTATTCTTGAGTGGATGAACTGTAGCAACCTACAGGACCACAAAATAATAAGACTTGCCTTAACATCTCTATGGATGAGCCCATGGGCATGGAGATAAACAAGAGCTTTTAGAACCTCACGCAATAACGTAGCAATAACTGGCTCTTCAAAACCCTCTGGAAAAGCAGACTTCATGATGTGAAGGCAAGATCCCCCAGACATGTAAGGCATTACAACCCAGAGACTGCGGTCAGCTGTGAAAGAGCAATATGCCCTTAATACATTAGGGTGGTCAATCAAGCTCATTGTCTGCACCTCCCGGCGAATACTGTCCTGTATAGATCACAAAAGAATACAAAAGAGGCCATAAGTAACAGGTTAGCCAACTCTCATGCATTTATAGTGATGGTAAAGAAAGATTTTATATTCAACCTGTCAACAAAGACTCAGTTGTTAGGTCAAACACCCAAGCTTTAACATGCCTAAAATGCATTCTCTTCTACAAGACTTGAGGAAATATTTTGACCTTTCTCATTTGGTCAAGAAAAGTCATGAAATATTCTAAAAATAAATCTCGTTCTGGATAAACTACACATTCAGTTTATTGAGGGCCTCTCTAAGACTCCAATATATACGAAGTGTTCGTGCCAGAAACATAATGGATTCCAACACCATGAATTTTGAGGGATATTTCTACATATCATTTTCCTTTTCTCCTTGCTTCGACATAAATAAATTTCTATGAATAAGCAATAGAATCTCGTCCTATAGAATTTTTGGAGATAACACGGAGAACTTTTTATACATATGACTTTTCCTATGGGTATACGATGTTACAATCCCACTCTTGTACTAAAAGGAAGCTAGAATAGAGCTAGGGGTGCCAACCCAACTCTTCTCCAGTACCCATTCTGAGTGGAGTAGGAATGCACATGGTCTGTCGAAAGGATAGAAGGAAAATGTACTCCAAGCACAAGACGGCTGTCAATGATTGTGGAAAGGCATCTGGCAAGCCTGACCTGGTAATGCTCGGCCTGTCAATATCATGGAGACATAATTCATCTCCCACTAGGAAACATGAACCCGGTAGAAGCCTATTGGCCATTTCAGTGCTGGGGGCTGGACCTCATTGGCTCGGTCAATCCCCCTTCCGCAAAAGGGCACATATGGATACTCACAGCAATTGAGTATATATATATATATAGCAAGAGAGAGAGAGAGACTTTTTAATGGTCTATTTTATGGACATATCTAGGAGTGTACCAGTTTTTTATCTCATTTGGTCACATACTCAAGACATTATTGGGTTCCAATGTCCATGTCTGTATTGGTGCAACATTTATTAAGGGAAGAGACTGTTTGGATCATGGCAGCATTGAAATAAATCAACAGATAATTATTTGAAGAACAGGCACCCAGGATCAAGGTTCAAAGTATCGATACGATACACCCCGTATCGGGCATATCGTATCGTATCTTTTGGTCTCGATACACCTATTTACAGGTGGTTCAGGACCCCCATTTATTTCAATAAAAAAGCACTTAAAAAACATCTCCAAAAATCAAATTCTGAAAAAAAAAAAAAAACTAATAAAACATTGAGCAGTGAGTTTTTAGTACCGATACTTTGAACCTTGCCCAGGATGGGAAAAAAGTTAATTGGCTAGTGACACAACACAACTACATGTACTGTTACATATAATATTAAGAAAACTCCACAAAAATATAATTAAATATGACCTCAAATTAATAAGGAGACAAAGGACACATACCAAATCACTATTGCACTTTTCAAGGTCAAGAACCTTGATAGCAACTATCTCATTAAAGGGAATGCATAAAGCACGGTAAACTGTGGCACTGACTCCTTCACCAACTTCCTCATACAACTTGTAATCATTTGAATTGACTGGAAATCTCTTCTCCGGTATATGTTCCATGGTTCTTTCTCATAGCACATCATTTAAACCCTTTGTACTCCTGGAAGTTTAAGAAAACAAAAATAACATAACTAAGTAACAACAAAATTAATATGGGGTTTCTTCCAAACTGCTAACAATCCCCTTTATTCAAAATCAAATTTATATGCAAATCTAATAATTTCATGCTATCCAAATATTCTCCTCTTGTACAAAACCATTTGAAAGCAATAGCTTACATAATTTTAGAAAACCATAATATTTCTAGCAGATGAAAAAACTCAGCATCTTTCCATCATGCTATCTGAAAAAGAAAAGAAAATTTTCAGTTAGATTACCAAGATCCCAGGCAAGCGCCAGAAGAAACATAATCCCTCCTAAGTAATGTCAAAATAGAGTTCTGTATAGATAGTGAGGATATGTGTGTAAGGGGAGAAATATAGCCTTCTCCAGTGTCATCTGCAAAATCATGCACCAAGATTATACAACTTCAAATAAAAAATAAATAAATAAACTTTGATAACCTAGCTAAAGAGGCACAAAAAAAACGAAGAAAGGTACCTCAGGATGACACAGAGAACATATAAGACATCAAAGAAATAGTAGCTTGAGTCCAGAACAAAATTAAGTAAAGCATGTTCTGCTGATTCCATAATCAAAGGTACCAACAGGAAAGGGAGGCACAAGCAAATGACCTTTTAAGAAACACACATCATATATAACAGTTCATGTCTAACATTAATCTACCAAAGCAAATGCAAAATATCAATTGACCCGGATGAATTAGTTAAAGTAGAAGAAAGCTTGATTCTGAGCTACAGTTTTATATCATTTTCAATAGGCTTTATATTTTCCCCATCTAGGTGGCAATGACCAAAACCCTAGCAACTGCAAAATTTGCATAAACATAAATCCAATTATCCAACCAATTTCCAAATGGGGACGTTAAAGAATCCAATTATGGATGAATTTCCAAATTCAAACCAAAGGATGGCATACATATTTACGTATACACATCCACATCAAACACCAACTAAAACATACATTTGTTGCATAGTGGTAATAATGTTTTCTTGGTTCTCTTTTATAGCTTTGATTATTCTTTCTGTTCTTTTTCTAATTTTTCTAATGTGCTGACTGTGTGCTGATCAGTGTTTTAAAAGCACAAGTAAAAGGGGCTTTTTGCACCTGAGGTGCAAGGTGCAAGGCGAAGTGCATGCCTTTTAGATATGATGTGCCAAAGTTTAAAAAAAAAATTCAAAAAAGGTACAAAAATGCAAAAAAAAAATGAAAAATATTACAAGTATTAAGAATTTAAAAAATGCATACCTAATTTCAAAATAAATGGTTTAAAAAGCTTATTAGCTCAAATTAGAACACATAAACTTAACATATAAAACATATGCAAAGTAAAAACATAAAAATAAAATTAAACATGCATATAAAATAAAACATATTCAACCATTGAACAATTCAAGAACGTGAAATTTCCAATCTCTTTATTTCTTTCCCAATTGCGTTACTATAATTCTAGGAGCCACATTTTACCAAGCCCCTTCAGGCAAGCCCAAATAAGTCCATGCTAGGGTCTTAAATTCTTAATTCCTACTTAAAAACCAATTTTATAATTTAGTTTCAATTCCTTACCTTTAAAAAATGCCTTTTATTAAGAAGAATTTCCTACTTAAAAACCAATTTTATAATTTAGTTTCAATTCCTTACCTTTAAAAAATGCCTTTTATTAAGAAGAATGGAATGAACAATATTAATAAAGGTGTGCGCCTGGGCTAAGGTGCAAGGCACACCCTGCGCTGGCCTTACTAAAGGGACTGTGCCTGGGGCTAGGCAGGACACAGGCCATGAAATGCGCCTTACCTACGCACCTAGGCATCAATCAGTAGTGTTGACTAATAGCATATTTCAGTTGGTATTCTTTCCAAGTGATTTTTCATTTTTTAACTTTCATCCATTTCATCCATCTTTTTGAGTAAAGCAGTGTCCACCATGCACACTGACATGAATATACATAAAAAGATGTTTGCTTAGGGAAAGCACCATAAGCAGAAACAAGCATGTAATAAATACTAACTAATAAGAAAAATGTAGACAGAATGTTCAAATTTGGCTTCATTAAAAATTATTGGAAATGACTATTACAAAAATGGTCCATTAAGCAATTTCCACATAGATATCAGAGACCACGTTGAACCACTCAGATAACTTCATTTTCTAATCTTCATCATATGTTCAATAATGTAATCGCATTATCTATTAAAGAAAAAGGTTCACTTCTAAATCTGTCCAAAAGTAGAAATGCTTTCTCAACTGATGAAGACCGGAGCAAATTGGTCATATCTGGATGATGACAACAATTTAAAAAAAAAAAAACACGTAAGGTGAATGCACAAGATAACAGTCTGACTTGTCAAAGTAAAACAATAACTGGTCAGGATTGATACTTAAAACAGATCTGAAGCACTGAGTTTTTCTGACAGTTGGCATCATTATTTGGGCTTATAGTGGGCCAGCTGTCTCTGCTGATGCATCCGAAGCTGATGTTACTATGTCAGGGCTCTGCTGACTGGCTTGAGAATTGCTAAATTGATCCAAGTCAGATCTGTTGTTGTTGAGGGGGACTCTAGGAATGCTGTTGGTTGGGCAAGTCCACAATGAGAAGGGCCCTTGAAGGCTGGCTCATCTTCTTAATGAGATACAGGACTTATCTTCTTCCTTGTCTTGTATTTTAGATGGATACCAAGGGAACAGAATTCCAAAGCTGATTTCTTGGCTAAATCAGGGGTGGATAAGGCTTTTTTATATAGAGAAACTTTTTTGGGTGGTCTTTTGTTTTGTGCTCTGCCTGTACATTCACCCTCTTCTTGATCTTAATGAATGATACAAGTTTCCTCTTCTCAAAAAAGATAAATAAATAAAAGTCTTCTTTCTGATCAACAACTTAAATTTTATACATACATGACACACACACACACACACCAAGAGAGTCCACCAAGAAAAAGGCATCAAATTATAAACAAAATTTCTCCTCCTAAATGTGGGATATCCCTAGGCACCAATGCCCAATCAACTAAACAAGTTCCTGTATCTGGAGAAGGACATTTAAAACAGTTTTGAGGTGCCCTAAAAAGTCCTATCTTTTCTTTTTAAACATCTCAATTCTTTCCTAGTGACTTCTTTTCAAATAAGTTAAATGCTTACTGGACATTTTATTTTTTCTGATAACCTGGATAATAATTTTAAAGTACTATAATAAACTATCAGGACATGGTCACCATTTTCTGGAAGCTCTCAAATGAACTTATTTGGACAATGACATGAAGGAAGTCCTTATTGGAGTTTCCAAGAATAAATAAATACACTTTGCACTTCACTTCACACGCATGTTACTGGGATTAGCACTTAATGTCCCATTTCTCCCAAGTTTGAACAAGTCAATAATGCAATTCCTTTAACAGACTACATTGCACAGACGAAATCGCTACATTGAGAAATATCCAACATCCACAAAGCCAAGGTCCCTGGTTTTCAATGTAAGATCTATAACGAAGGTAAATTTTCATCAGTACAAGTTAAGGGAATGGCTCCCTGGCCTCTGGTTTCCATATAAAGGACATGATGAGGATAAATACCCTCTTTTAACTTCTATTCTGATCGACTGGATATCTCTCATAAGGAATCGAAGGAWGATACGACGATTTTTTCCAGGAAATCCCCGACGAAAAATACACATTATTCCTTCTTTTCTATCAAATCGATCATAACCACTACCTACACTCCACAAAATTGTGCACCACAAATAGGAGCTAATGAACAGACCTGCGATCCCATAGAAAGACATCACGATTCCCTGTGGAAAAAAATGATTTGCAAAGACGGAAATCAGGATATCAGATTCCTACCAAGATAACTRGAAGTTCCAACCAATAAGAACCCTAGTGAACCTAAAAAAAGGATAAAGGCCCAGCAGAAATTACTTGTTTTTYGAGACCCCGTTATAAGTTCTAATTCCAAAGATTGACCTTCTGAGCAACTGGTAAGTTTTTGAACCATGCACTTTCGGACTTCTATACAATTATACATTACTATTATGTAATTGCATTTTAATTATAAGCTATTCAGCTGTAAACTAAATTACTAAATTACCAAATGACAACTATAGTACACCTAACTTTCAAAACAAATGCATAAAGATATAACCTCCCTAGTTTAAAGTAATGAACACCTCCAAAGGATTAAGAACCCTAACTTTTTTAGGTGTATATACACTTGTATTGACCCAAGATGGGTGAGGCACACTTGTATCAATTACCAAAACATAGGGAACATACGTGGTGGCAAAAAGGGGAAAAAAGCATAGGGGGACATATAACCCAAAAATGGATTAGGCACATACTTGACAATGTTTATATCCATACCACTCGCTTAGTTGATTGCCTAGGCAGCAGGCCTCCAAAAAGCCTGGTTGGCCATCCAATCAATGCCTAGGCAACACCTATCTACAAGCATATGCTTTTCTTATTGGAAACAGTAACTTCATTAAATAACTTTAAAATAACTTTCCAGATTTAAGTACAGCTGTCAACCCCTAAGTAGGTGTTGAGCCCCAGTTATCTTTCTTACAAAACTGCCCAGAACA